CTATATAAATGCATGTCTAATCGTGCTGCAGACACGTGTAGTCAATAGTTTAGCACTTCAGAGCATTTTAGTTAAAATTTTTATTTTCTGCCTAAAACTGTCAGTGTTGTGCCGTTGTCAGGTAAACACTCTGCACTGCATTTGAATTTAAATCTGCCATCACTATTGGCTAAGAGGTACCCTAGAACTTTAGCTGGTACCATATGATGTCACAATGTCGTTGTGAGCCTGTGTGTGTATTTGTTAGCGGCTCCGCCCTCTCGGTCTGCTAGGCAACTGCATTTGTTGCATTTATCAAACAGGAAGTGGGAGTTGAGTAAGAATCTGGTAGGGGGTGACTTGCTCTTTAAAATTTAAATTTTCTGCCTAAAAGTGGCAGTGTTGTGCCGTTGTCAGGTAAAAACTCTGCACTGTATTTGAATTTAAATCTGCCACCGCTATTGGCTAAGAGGTATGCTATGATGTAAACTGGTACATTATGATGTCACAATGCCTTTGTGAGCCTGTGTGTGTGTGTATTTGTTTGTGGCTCCGCCCTCTCGGTCTGCCAGGCAACAGCATTCGTTGCATTTTTCATACATGAAGTGGGAGTGGAGTAAGTTTCTTGTAGGGGGTGACTTGCTCTTTAAAATAAACAAAAACCCATGGCAAAGACTTGCATAAATGCAAAAACAATATGTTTGTTCAAAATCCTCCATTGTGTAAAATGGCATCCTTAATTATAAAGATTTACCAGATGTCTTGCAGCAAGTAAAAAACAAGTGTGGTTGTGCTGAGTTGATCCTGAACAGTCCCACAATTTTTCATCCCAAACAAATATTCTCAGTAATGATCAGCAGGATGCAGACCACGCCACGGTGCTCTAATCAGCATTCTTCTCTCAGCTACACGACACCAAAAGGTTTCGAAACTGCAAATTACTTTTCATCAGCCACAATATGACAAATCAAACTCTAATTACAATATCTGCCAAAATTAGATCAACAAATCATTTTTGCTGCTCAGATTACATTTTTCTTTGGCCTTTGGCTTTTCCCAGTGGACCCTGAAATAAATTCATCATTTATGCAAGAGCCAAGGACTAAATATATGGATATAAATTCTGCTGGCAGCCTGCCCCTTTGCCTGCCTGGAGCATAAAGAAAGCCTGAGTCATGTTTAAATGTGGATTGTGGGAGATCGTAAATCCTTATGTGATCTTTGACCGCTTAGAAACTTGAGACTTTCTATACCTGATACTTGAACAGCTGATGTGGCTCATACAGAGCAGAATCACTGCATTAAAACAACAGTTTACAGCAGCAACGGCTCCGTCCGTAAATAACTATCTTTTTGATGTGTAAAGACTATAAATAATTACCATCTTTGTAAACAACTTCCTGAAGAGCCTCAGTCTGGAGAAACAGGGTTTATATCTTTTATATCCTTATGACTGATTGATGTTGTTACAGTCACATAAACAATACATTGGTTCACTGACCACTGACAACAACATCATGAGAGCAATAAAAATAAGGCCCAATTATATAATAAAGATGCTTTCAGAGGCACCAACTGAGTTAAAGCTGAAATGTGGAGTATTGAATATATATATATATATATATATATATATATATATATATATATATATATATATATATATATATATATATATATATATATATATATCTGGAGTATGGGCCATTATCAGCGTTAACGTGCTGCATGAACGCTTGACTGTTAGCGACAAAACAAAATCTCACTGTTAATCTATTTTCATGGTTGCGTTGGGATCTGAGTCTATACTAAGTAAGCTATATGACTTTCACAGTGATATTCTAGCGCAGATGTAATGAATATGTAGCATGGATGCATAGTATTTGGACGGCCTGACTTCAAAAATGACGGCCTAAACAAAGAGTGAATGCTTATAAGCCGTCTCGTTTTCTGTAATATCAAATCTAGAATTTGCTTTTTGTGGGAGTAAAATAAAAATCTGATTATTGCACAAATCATTTGACAAATATGTTAAAGTGGAAATACGCAGATTCATTGTGGGGGTAAACCCAGCATGCAGGGTTCAAATTACAGCAACGAGCCCGGCTCACTTGAAAGGGTGACGGGTTCCACTGTCCTTAAACTCACACACCCATGGGGACCCAAAAAAAATATCCATCCATCCACTTTCTTCTGTTTATCCGGAGACGGGTCGTGGGGGCAACAGCCCAGCCACTTGGGCCAGCTCTTCCAGGGGAATCCCAAGGTGTTACCTGGTCAGCCGAGAGACATAGTCCCTGTAGCGCATCCTGGGTCTTCCTTTAGGTGTCCAACATCACCAGAGAGGCATACAGGAGACGTCCTAATCAGATGCTCGAGCCCCCTCAACTGGCTTCTCTTGATGTGGAGGAACAGCGGTTCTACTCCGAGCCCCTCCCGGATGACTGAATTTCTCGCCCTATCGCCAAGAGAGAGCCCAGACACCCTGCAGAGAAACACATTTTAGCCGCTTGTATCCGCAATCTTGTTCTTTCGGTCACTACCCAAAGCTCTTGACCATAAGTGAGGGTAGGAACGTAGATCAACCGGTCAATTGAGAGCTTTGCCTTCCGACTCAGCTCTCTTTTCACTACAACAGATCAGTACAGTGCCTGCATCACTGCGGATGCAGCACCAATCCGCCTATAGATCTCATGCTCCATCTTTCCCTCCCTTGTGAACAAGTCAAAGAGACTCTCCTCCACTTGGGGCAGAACTTCATCCCTGACCCAGAGAAGGCATTATACCCTTTTCTGATTCATAAAAGTTATGAACAGAATCAGTGACAAAGGGCAGCCTTGGCAGAGTCCAATATCTCACTGGGAACGAGCCCGACTTACTGCTGGCAATAAGCTCTGACACCGGTCATACAGGGACCTAACAGCCCTTATCAGAGGGCCTGGTACCCCATACTCCTGGAATACCCCCACAGGGCCTCCCAAGGGACACGGTCGGATGGCTTCTTCAAATCTACAAAACGTAGATTAGTTGTGTGAACTCCCACACACCATTTATATATCATAAAATTCCCATCTCACCCTCCTAGAGAAGTGCCAGGACCTCAAAGAAGACTTGAGAAAACCTGGATGGAGAAGACATCGGTGGTGCCCGTGCTCATCGGGGTACATTGTGTGTCACTGGGGCTCTATGGCAGTGGTTCCTCACATGTTTTCCTTGAGGACACTCTTGCCTGTGTACAAAATAAGTTAGAACCTCCAACCCTAACTCCTACTCACATACACATATTAAAAGTGAATAATTACAAACGTTGTACACACAGAGTTGAAACTCTTCGGCAGGGTTTTGAGTGTACTATTGAGTCTTTTATTGGGATTTTATAAATGGAATTTTCACAAATGTAAATTTGGTGACCTCACCACAGATAGAGGAACCCCTGCAATCTTGTTGGGAGGTCCCGAACCGTAGCTTGAGAACCACTGCTCTACAAGATTGGGTACTGTGCAAAACAAGACCTTTACCCCTATTGTAAAGTCCTAGTTGAGTAAGGCAGACACATTAGTCGCATATCCGTAATTAGGTTTTTCTGAACCAATGTAACAATTTTGCTATTACAAAAAGCTGTAATGTGAAATTTTCATTAGGAACATTTAATGAAAACAAATAATCAATAATAGTAAGTAATTATAACAAAAATACATTCAAAATGAAAATTATGAAAGCTATAACAGAAATCACAAATGATTGTTTTTGACTCAGGAGATGGAAATGATGCACAGCTAGTCTTCAATAGTAAATGGTGAAACAGCAGACTCTAGAATGCCTCCACCATCTTGAACGTTAGTTTCATTTTATCACAGAAACTCTCTCCGAATTAATTCTAGTGAACCCAGATCTCATAGCTCTTAAAAAACATGGTCAAAACATTTTAAATGGATATCACCTATAAAAACTACTGGCAGGATGTAACGATAAACAACTAGCAAGTCTACAGTAAATATATGAGTAAATTAAAAAAATAATCAATTTCCTCTCACTAAAGGAAGGCACGGGAAGGTGGATGCTAACTTCATTACAGCATGAGCGCCTTGACCTCAGTGGCCTGCCTCTTCTCTCCTTCATTTCACTGCACCGGAGTAAATACTCACCATCATGACAGAGAATGCTGCTCACATAAGAGACCCTTAATCTGTTTCTGCTTTTTTAACCCTCTGGAGGCAGGCGTTGCAAATTTGCAACGTTAAAACCTACCTGGTTACTCCACACACGTATTTCATGAGCATTTTTTAACTCAGAAGTACCCCTGAAGGACTTAGTTGTTCGTCCTTTAGGGATAAATGGTTTTATTTTGCCTCATGGACAACCAAAGACCGACATTACCTACTTAAGCTGTACTGATACTAAAGTCCTATCTGAACATAGAGTTGAAACACTCATCGTGTGGGTCCTGTCTCCTGAGTCTGAGGTGGTCTAAACTACCAACAGTGAAACGTTTTACTGGTGATGCTGGAGCCATAAGAGGATAGAAGGAAACCAGTAAAGAATGGCATGACGTCTGCTCTGTTTGCACACAGCAGCAAATCCTGTGAAATGTGTGACATCTGCAGCACAATGCACGGATTCAAAGAAGGTTCTTTCACAGAAATGTCATTTTTTCTTCAACTTTCATCTTCTTTTTTAATTGTATGGTCATAAATACATAGAACGCCCGGCACCTTTACAGAAAAAATGCATTAGTATAATGACAAGAATAATAAATATAAAATTAGTTATGAAAATCAACATGGATAACTTTCACACATACAAAGCCTTCAGTGGACTCAACAGATATGTACATTGATGAAGACAGTCCTGAGATTAGACTCATGAGTGTTTCAGATTCTTCATTTGTTTGGCTCGTTGCACTTTAAACCAAAATATCATTTTTAGTCACATAAAATGGATCTTCTATAGAAAAGCAGCATCTTCATTTCATTAGGAGGATGGTTTCATGCAAATGATGCTCTCTTTGTTGTTGTTCACACACACACACACACACACACACACACACACACACACACACACTGTGGCTTCTGCTGTGGCTGCACCTGTTTGCCAAATGCAGAAAAACTCAGCTGGACTCGTGTTTTTCTGTGGTGAGAAGGTGAGACTTTGTAACATCTCCAGCCAGACGTCAGCAAACCAGCTCATCCCATCGCAGGCTCACACACATGAACTCATACAGAGCAAACACATTTTGCCAAATGATTTACAGGCTACATCATGAGAACAAAACTAGCAAGTCGAAAGTGGCTTTGCTGGCTCGTGGTGACATGTAGCCTCAGGTCAAGGTCAGTCTCTCCACAGTTGACTCGTACTTCATGATTCACGAAAGATCGCCAACTCCTCGTCACTGTTCTCATGTCAGTCAGGGCAATAATTAACTTTCTCCAAATATATCTCTGCATTCAAATCACTCTCCTTTGTGCACATAATTATATTGAGCCGAGCCTCTGAGAATTCTCTTCAGTGCTGCAGAATTTATCGTCTAACATCAGAGATAAAACCACTTTATCTCCTTGAAATAAAATAAATAAATAATGAAAATCTCTGCCAAGAAAATCCACCGTTTGTCTCTAGAAGGCAGAGTGTTCACACCTCACATTCGATGGATCCTGATATAGTGCACGTGCACGGTCTGCTCTCGTTCACCAAGGAGTCAAGCGTCTCAGAGTTGGAATGGTAACTCAGATAGTACTCTTGCAGCTGAGAGTTAAGGTCCTGCTCCTGCTTGCGGGCCTTTTTCCTGCGCTTGTGGTTGACTGAGTGCTCCTGAAGCTGCCTCATGGTGTTGGGGTAGCGCCTCCACGAGACATAAATAACCAGCAGGATCAATGACACTGACAAGAACAGAGCTACACCGCCCGCTATGATTTTATGGAAAGCCATATGCTCGAACGGCAGCTCAGGGATAAAGGATGTGGGTGTTTCAGCAGAGAAATGGGATGTGGAGCTTTGAGTGGTGGATTCTGCTGTCCTGTTGCGGCGGACAGGTGAAGTAGTCCATTTGTGTGAAGGTGCCACAGTATGGGTCAGTTCTCCAGACGGAGACGACCAAGCGGTGATGTTTACAGCTTGAGTTGAGCTCAACTCGATAAGAGTTGTGGTTGAGAACATGTTTGATACCTCCACACATATCGAGTGGTTCCTCAACACGTCCACCACTCTTTCTCCCTGCACAGATTTTGGACCGCTGCAAATCATGTTGATGTCTTTGGGGTCCCTGAAGGTTCTGAGCCATCCCATCAGAGGGCAGATGCTGGGGCTGCAGTCCCACGTGTTACCTGCCAGGCTGATGGAGGTCAGGGAGGTCCAAGCTGCCACAGCTTCCACAGGAACACTACTAAGCTTGTTAGATTCAAGGTTGAGGATTTCTAAATTGGGCATGCACTGGAAAACTGCTGGATCCAAAGTTTGGATTTCATTCCCAGAAAGGTCTAGTTTCTGGAGTTTCTGCCATGTCCACGGCACGCCTTGACTGATGGATCGGATGTGGTTCCATTGCAAATAGAGAGTCTGGAGGTTGGTAAGGCGTGGGAAAATATAGAAATTAATCCTGGAAAACTGATTGTGCTCCAAATGAAGCTCTCTGAGCTTAAACAGTCCTAAAAATGTGGTGCGAGTCAGGCTGCGAAGACGATTATAACCCAGGTCTAAGAACTCCAAGCTGCGGCATTCCAGAAATGTGCGAATGTGGATCTGCTTCAGTCCGTTCGATCGAAGGTGGAGACTCTGGAGCTTGCGCAGGCCATGAAAATGACCCGGCTGCAGAGACTGCATCTGATTGTAAGATAAATCCAGATTCCTCAGGTTGGGTATGGCACTGAATGTTTTATTGTGCAGAAAGGTTATTTTGTTGGAGCTGAGAATCAGTTCCTTGAGTCTGCGTACACCATTGAAGGCTAAAGCATCTATAGCTTTGATGGAGTTATGGTCCAAGTAAAGCCAGATGAGCTGGTTGAGATGAGCAAATTGGTACGGCAACAGGACCAGCAGGTTGTTATAGCGCAGAGACAGTCCTTGGCATCCTGTCGTGATGTTTACTGGAATGTCTTGGAGGATGCCAGACTCGCAATAAACAATCTTTCCTTCACAGCGACAACTCGCAGGACACATCCTCTCCCCCGTGCTGTGAAGCAGCATAGCAGCTGCCTGCAGAAGAAGACAAGTTAACCTCCAGTCCAACATCACAGAACCTGTTGGGGGTAGAGTAGGGCACAGGCAATCAAAGGGATGACATTGCTGTAGGAAAATATTTACTTCATTTTGCTTTAACAAGTAAAACATTCGACATTCAATCCTAAATCAGATCATGTGGAGCAGCAGCTTGAGGTTTGATGTCTCAGATCTGCTTCATGAAGAATTTATAACAGGCTGACTTAAGGTATGCAGGGTGAATACATTTACATTTGCAGAGCAAGTTGGAGAGGAATTTAATTATTGTTAAATCTTTGGATAAACGCGCCTCTTCTCTGTCTCTGGTGTAATAAAGAACACTGAAATGAGTTGAAGCTCGCAGCTGTAGCGTGAAGAGAGACTAAATAATAAAAAAGGAGAGATTGTGCCTTACCCATCGCCTCTGAGGGTGAGGGTGATCCTCCGGAGGGAGAAAGGGGATAAAGAGCGCTCCAAACTGCGCTCAGTCAGTCCGCACGGTCTCCCAGACGCTCCGCATTCTCAGACATGCAAGTTTTCCGCATCGCTCCAAATCCGACCGCGCTGCGCTCGAAGTTGGAGCCGCGTCTACAGTTCGGACCGCCGTGTGCGCAATTACCCATTTGAGCGCTTTTGGACCAATGCACGCCCTTCCACTCACCCACCTCCTCCTCTACTCTCACCCCCTTCTTCCTCCTCCTCCTTTCGCTCTCTCTGCCTCTCTCTCTCTTCTTCCCTCACTCTACTCAAAAACCTGGGCGTCCTCCAGAACATAAACTCAGATTTCTGCCGGTTAATCCAGCCATTTATCTAAATTAGACAATGAAAGGGTATTTTATTTCATGCGTGCGCGTCATCTTGAGTGTGAAACACATTTAGGCCACGGCCTGTGAAACCAAGTCTAAAAATAAATAGACGTTCAGGGAATTAGGTCAGAAAATTCATCATAACCCTGATACATTCATTCATATTTTTTTAGATTTGAATGAATGTGTTTACCAAAATAAGATGTGACGCGAGGATATTTCACATTTATAGACTATGACGGAGGTAATTATGACAGATTAGAAAATAATCCACGATCAATAGAAGAATCTCAAAATTAACTTCTCATTAAGGTGGATAATTAAGACTTCTGGCTCCTGTTTCAGCTTACTGAAGCCTCATAATGCAAACAACTTAAGTGTGATGTTGACACGTTTGTGTGAAAAAACAAATCTCACCTCCTGGTGTCTAGAGAAGAGCTCAGATCATAGAAGGAGTGTTTAAATGATCAGCATGAATGAATCAGACAGCTATGGAAGTCATTATGTTTGTTTCATCTGATTGGCTTCTAACCACACTGAGAGGTAGTTTTAATACAGTGAAATGTGTGGTAACAGCAACCCCTTGTGCACACAAAAAGAAATGCCTGCTGTGCTAAAATATGACCTCAGCAAAGTCGATAGAAAAGCACCCAGGTCAGTTATGGCTTAGAGAGAAAATGAAAGGATAAATCTGAATGTGCTGGTTTCGAACCAAAACCATGGACAGCACTGTGAAAAGGTGGATTGTGCAGCTGCTCCAGCTGGAGCCCCTCAACAGGGCATGATCCAACGTGAAAATGAGCTGATCCATTCGTGTAATGCCTCCCAGACTTATAGATGCACAGCCTGTAATTGAATGTCAAACAAAATCTGCTCTTCAAAGGGAACTGTGCGTCACACACGTGTCTGAGGAGCTCACATGTCATTCAAGTGAGGCAGTCAAGAGGGTGTTGCTTCATAGTGATGCTGCTTATGTGTATGTGAGTGTTGCTGCACAGAAAAAAATACAAAAAACAAACCTGAACTCACTGTCAGTGATCATGCGTCAGCTCCACAAGCACATTATCAGCTGGAGATCATGTTGAACACAGAAAATAGAAAGTGACTGTGCATGTGCACACCAGCTGCAGCTATTAAACTGACAGTTTAATCATTTTCATTGGTGACAACTTTCTTTTAGTTGTCAATTACAGGAGACATGTCAGCTCAGCCTATTTAAACTCATCCATGGGGATCACAATGGACGTCTGTCTTATTCCAGCAATGTTAACACAGCTAAAAGGTGAAGTTATGAGAAAATCATTTCAATCCATACGGCCTAGGAGCGATAAAAGTAAGCTTGTTCATGGGTCAGAGACATAAGGTAGTGTATATGCCAAGAAAATAAAAAAAATAATGAAATTTAGAAGTCAACAACAGGCAGAACAGTAGAGAAGACCTTATTAATACCTGATCTGAGTCATTTACAGTAAGTTATCTACTGATGAATAAACATGTGTTCTTTTAGTTTTATTTTACAGACTTGCAGACTATAAGTACAGTAAAGGTGAGCTTATAAGGATCACAGTGCAGGGAGACAGTTTATCTACATGGCTCACTGGTTTTGTGTCGTTGTTCCTGCAAACAGATCTTTTAATCCCACATTTTTATATCTCAACTGATCTCAATCAGGATTATTTAAAGGCCAAGTTCCCTGAGAAACAGTTTAGCACTTTTTGAAACATGATCAGCCAATCTGAGTCGAACATGCAGGCTAAATGTGAAAAAAGTCTTCAACTGATTTAAAATAGACGGCTGAACTCTCGGGTCAGAGAAGCTAGTCAACTACATCTTATATTTTCAAATTAGCATTCGTGGACTGACACATTTCGTCTCATGACGGGGAAGGCTGTTGATGATTTAGCATCCAGGAGAGAGCAGAGCATGTCTCGGCTAGTAGAAGGTAACTGTTAGCATTAGCAACACAACATGGCAGAGTTCATTCAGGCTTGTGCTATTTGTTTGTAAAAATAAAACATCAATGCTGCAGAGCACACTGAGTCAGTGGTGGAGTCACGTTGATGTTATCCAATCAGAGGCGAGATGACTGAACATTGAGAAATCGGACTCCAAATCCTGCCGTCTTCAGCTCACCTCTGCTCTGGCTCACTTCTAGCTCCTGAAACAGGAGCATCAGAGCTTTATTTCCACAGAGATCAACTAACAAGGCAAATGCAAATATTATTGAAAAACTAGTGAAGTTGGTCTGCTGCTTCTGAGATTAACAGTCAACTAGGATCCACAGAGACTTTAAAAGTAAACAATGCTTAGACATGTTTGTTCTGCTGGTTGTGGTCTCAGCTCTAGGTGGTGCTTTGACCTGCAGGTGAGCACATCTTATTACACTCTTAGTTTTACGTCTGGTGGGCTCGACACAGGAGAGGTGACATTGCCTCTCCTCCATTCATTTTCAATGAGACATGCGCGACAAAGCAATAATCGTGGGTCTCCCTCCTACCAAGCGAAACGCGAAAAACGTGCGTGTGAAATTTTGCGCTCATGCATGTGTCGTGCACAGGCGACCCAGCGACGCGATCCCAGAAAGTTGAAACATTTTCAAATTTTCATCGCTGTCGCTCGGACGAGGACCAATCAACGGAGGTTTCATTCACTGACCAATGAGCGGACAGGATGCTCCGTAAACCTCCGAGCAAACATGGAGGAGAAGTTGATTATTATTATGTTTTATAGTAAAATCAGAAGTAAGATTTCACATAACTCTAGCAGCACCTTGTGAAACATCATATCTACCAATTTTTTAACTCTGAACAGCTTAAATAACCTTAATTCCCTCCAACCTGACACAGCCAAACAAAACAACGGAAGTTTCAATTTCGCCATGGAATACAACGCGTAGACGGCTTTGCCGCTGGCCGCTGCCGCAGATGCCTCCCGTGTGTCAGGTAAGAAAAGCGACAAATTTCGATCATTGCGGTCGTTTGTCGCCTCCCGTGTGTCGAGCCCATGATTCACATAAAACTGAATATTTTTTCTGAGTACAAGTGAAACAAACTTTAAAATCTTAAACATGTCAGAATCCTAACAAAAGCTGAAAGGTTTCCAATTATCTGCACCATCGTCTGATGACAGGTGACAGGATCAGGTATGAAGATTAACTCAAGGCTTAGTCAATTCGGATCAATCTAAAAATAAATGTGTCTAAACAGCTACATCCCACAAAACCATGAAAAGATTCAGGGAGTCTGGAGAGAGCCTGAAGCTGCTGCTGCATGAGTGTCTCTTTAAAGCCCTCCAGCAGGAATATATATTTCCACATGATCAACATCCCCTCATGAGCTCAGGGGCAAAATGTAAAGCTATTGTAATTTAAAACATTCTGCTGCGGCAGCATCCTGAAGCTGAAACGGTTCTACGTGAGGAAGAAGCCATCTATTACCGCTGAGCAGGAATGAATGTGTGTTTTCTGAGCGTGAATTTAACACATGTACTGGGATTAAATTATTATAAGCCCAATTATAGAACATTAAGTTGTGGATTAATTTTCACACGATACTTCACAGTTTAAAGGCTTAAATGAAGCTTTGTTTCATGCTTTTTCTGCATGTGTGCAAATGAATGTGAGTGTAGGTGAAATTTTTATCTTGAAAATCAAAAATGAAAGAAGAGAAAGAATAACAAAGTGTTTTAGTGAACATCTGTTTGTACAGTCGAAAAGTGAGAGCCCCTAATGACTACATTATGCGTGAGACTGAAGCAGCCAGTTTTATTACCTGAATCTGGGGTGAAAACTCAACTGATGATGTAACTCTGAGGTAAACACCTCCTGACTGTTAGATTTATTTAGTTTAACAAAAATGCTCTTTTGAAGACACTAAAATAATTCTCTTTGTACCTTAACAGTTCAAAGAGAATAATAAATTAGACTGAAATGTTTGATTATGCTAAAGATGATGTTGGACAAAGCTTGACAGGCTGCAGAGAGGTCAGGGCAACTAATTCAAGGCAAGCGTTCAACTTTGCTGTTTATGAAATTCAATGGTTATCCACATCAACGTGTTGCATTAATGAGGTTTTATTAATAGAAATCTCTTTTAAACGGTTCGTGTGAGCTCCACATTCTTCTGTTCTTAAAACCAAAACCATGTTTTTGACTATAGAAGTTGCCATGTTGTTTATTTGGAGCCAGGGTCTGCACACTAAAGATGGGATTTTTGTCTTCTTGTTGTTTTAAAGCATAAAGAAATGAATTACAGTTAAAGCTACAAGCAGCATCGTTCGGCCCTCGCAGCTTCACGACGGTCCGGCCTGGCTGGCAGCCTGGGGCACCTGGGCACGTCCGCGGAACAGAAACGTCGACCACCCCGACACCAGAAACCACGAACGGTCTCCTCCTCTGCACCTTACCTTGACTCAGCATCTCCTCTGAGCCCAGCATTAAATTACACATCTCACCACTAGGTGATACTCTATCTTTACCACACTGATGGTGTGATGACACAGACCAGGGTTAATGCTATTCTGACCACGTTTTTTGAAGTTATTGAAGGTTAAAGTTATGTAGGGGGCGCTGTGACCAACGACAGAAAAATCCCATTGAGGTCAGCTTTGGTAGACAAAGATGGTTTTCTGTTTATTTGGCATCAACTAGACATTGTTTGTGCTTTCTAGAGCCAGAGAGCTGAAAGGGGGTGGACCTAAAGGGATTTGAACCAACAACCACATCAATGTGTTTGGTGCAGTCACGTGATGACACAACTTTTAATCTTATCTAGGGGCGCTGTTACCAATAACATAAAAATCCCATTGAGGTCCTCTTAGGGAGTCAAAGATGGTTTTGTGGTAGTTTGGCATCAATCAGACGTTGCGTGTGCTTTCCAGTGCCAGAGAGCTGAAAGGGGGTGGAGCTAA